CCAATTAACTTTAGAGACAAGAGGGGAAATTGGTGATGATATACCCAAAGGAAACTCACAAGACTTGTTCTGGCAGCTTGATTTAACCACTGGAGCCAACTATAACCAATACCTGATTACGTTTACTGTGGGAATTCAGATGGAGATGTAGCATTGTACCATGAATTCTGCCCTGGAGTTTCTGCCAGGAGTATTGTTGGGTTTCAGTTCTTTTTTGAAAAACAGTTTTCAAAAAATAGGTTACTATTTACAAATTCTCATTGTGATTAAATGAAAGACTCCTGAAAGTTTAACTTTAAAACATTAAGATTGTCCTATTGTTGTGCCCATTCATTTAATAATATTTTCCATTTCAGAGGGAATGGCTAACATATTTCATGAAGAGCAACTAAATTGTCTACATGCAAAGTGCTATGAAAATAGAGGGTGGAGACGGAGAGGAATATTTTTCTTCCCATTAACTTCTTCCAGGTACAATAGAACTAGGAGTTTATGTGTACCAACAGCACTAAAAATATTTTTAAGGCACAAATGCAATTGGTTTTTTATGGCCCTGATTCAGCAAGGTAGACAGACTTCTGGTTAACTGGAAGTATGTTGAGCAATACCATTGACTTTAATGTGATTACTCATGTACTCAAAGTTAGGGGTTCTGCTGTACTGTACAATTTACGGGTAGTTAATGGAAGAAAGAGATAACTCTAACCCACATCAGCAATTCTGGGGCTGGTCAACAATCTTATAGAGTCAAAGAACCTTATCATAACACATAAAGGAGAAAGCAGTGAGAAGAAAATAAATCTTGATGAAATATGAAAGACCTGACATCAGCCAAAAAATATACTGCTCTTTAAGAAAACAAAAATCCAGGCAAGTGAGGCTACCAAAATTCCCTGTCAGGTTACATGGGTAACAGAGATTATGAGGAGCTACAAAACAGCAACAGGAAGCTTGTTTTTCCCTATCGCTGTCCAGGTATGATTTCCTCTAGCTGAAATATAAAAAGTAAATTCTTTGAAATATCAAAATAAAGGAAGTACCCCAAGAGAGGTAGTAAGATACGACTTTTTCATAAAACTGAGTTATTTCTTTCCATGAGCCTTCAGAAACAAAGATGGGAATACTTTCCCTGGAATCACTTTTTCCACAGAAAGCAGAATGAGGCTAGAAATAGAGGGCTTAAAAAACTTTGTGACATTAAAATAGCAATAAAGACATTGTTTCTTCAGTTAAATTCAGCCCATGATGGACATCAGCTGCTCCCTGCAGGAGGAGATTAACCTACTGCCCACCCCCCCCCCCCCCCCAACCAGGGCAAAAGAGGAAATCAAACAGGATACGATTTTTTTATAAAACTGAGTTATTTCTTTCCATGAGCCTTCAGAAACAAAGATGGGAATACTTTCCCTGGAATCACTTTTTCCACAGAAAGCAGAATGAGGCTAGAAATAGAGGGCTTAAAAAACTTTGTGACATTAAAATAGCAATAAAGACATTGTTTCTTCAGTTAAATTCAGCCCATGATGGACATCAGCTGCTCCCTGCAGGAGGAGATCCTGCCCTATCTCCCTTAGGTTTGTCCCAAGGTATTTGATGACAGCAGAAGGAAGAAAAAGGCTTCAAGTAAAGTTCCACATGCCCAAATCCCAGAAATGCACATCCCCTATTCTAACCACAAAAAGGGAAAGCCCCAAGCCCCCCCAGTGACAAACCAGAGCTTCTACTACAGACATCTTGAGACTTCTCACAGCAGGCTGAAGTTGAATGTCCAAGTCAAGGCAGAGTAAGAATAGGGTTTAACCTGCTGCAAGCTATTTCAGATGCAAAACAACACGAAGAAAGAGTGTCACCCCACAAACGGCACTGAATTCTAACCTGTTCTCACTGTTTGGCTATACACAGTGAGGTCTGTGTTATGATCTCTTACATTCTTCCCCATGTCCAAATACATTGCTACAGTCGAAGACAGAGTAAGTTCCTTCATCCCAGAGCAATCAACTGACCACTTGGGGCTGAGTTATATTTTCTGCAATCACTGGTAGTATGTTGTTGGGCCAAGAATATATTACTTATTTTGGCAGATTTCTTTTACTCCAATTCTTTTCTGTAAAGCCATAATGACACAATTGCAGCAGAGCAGTCAAATGCATATTAAGTGCATATAGAAAGCAAAACTAACTTGCTCTCACATTGTAGAAGTTGCTTTTCTGATTCCATAAAATGTGTTGTCCCTCTTTATTTCTCTATCTACTTTTATCACCTATTTCCAATCAGTAGCTATCAACCTACCATTGAAATGGAACAATTGGTGGAGGTAAGAATAAAGTAACATACCATCAATAGTCATCCAAAAAATGAGTGGTGCAAATACTGATTTCCACAGCAAACAGGGTTACTCTCCTGCAGAACTCTTCTGTGAATAGGGGAATATTCAAGGCATATCTTATTAAGTATTGGTACACTGTTTTCCAAATAGTATTGTTTTCAACTTCATTTTTGTTATGGAGAAATAGCACACATATTTTAGACAAAGCATTTTTATAGAGGGTACTCCAAATTATAGCTAAATCAAAGATTTCCACTGATGCAGGACCTCTTCAAAAGTCATGTCAGTGGCTTAGATTACCCTGTGGAATAAAAATGCTCCATCTCTGCTTTTGCACCAAACCAGAGCTGTTTGTTTCTGCCTTGGCCTCCATCTTGGGCCACCTCTGTATGAAAACAAACAGTTTTCACAGCACAAACTCACAACTGATGACTATTTGCATTGTCTGTCTTTATAAAATATCAGTACCATCACCTTTCCTTTGGATATGCACACAGGAGCGAAGGGAAAAAAAAGCTTTTGTGACCTACAAAAGCCTTACTTGAAATAATTCTCTCCGACTTGAGGCCTTTTGGAATGGAAGGGATATATTGTTTTGACTTGATTAAAGCTGAAAAGTTGATTTGACATCCTGTTGTCAAGGAAACCAATTCACACACAAAAGAAAACAGTTGTGATGGTATCATTCAGACTATTCAAGTGACCTTAGGAAGAAAAAAAGGCTTCAGTTCCAAAGATTTGTATTCAACTCACTGCACCACTGTAGAAATAAAGATCATTGCTCTTTATGCTTATTGGAAAGCAGTTTTCAATCTGGGAAAAGAAAAATGGCACATCTTCTTCCATCTGCCAGATCCAATACTTTGCTGGGAATATACACATAAACACACCTACCATTTATTTGCCTGTTTCAAAGAACCACAGAAAGAATCACACTGAAGACTCACAGGGAAGGAGAATGAATTTCTTTAATTGACAGGACTGTGATAAATACCCCCTGACACATGCCCCACCTATTGAACAGCAGCTTGCAAGCCAGGTTTTAAAACATCCTACTTCAGCTGCAAATAGACCTTACCTCAAACACAGCATTGTTTGCATCCAGCTTTGTTTTCCTGGGAGATATGAAAAAACAGCAATTTTTCCTGCCAGCCTCCTAGATCCCTCACAAATTGAGTTTTCCATGCATGCATAAATTAAGTATACCTCTGCTCACTCTTCCTACCTAGAGAATCCCAGAGTCAGAACTATCCCTGGCTGACCACCACCACCATCATCCAGCTTTGCAGTCCATGCAAGTCTCACAGAGGTTTCATTCCCTAACAGCCTGTAAGTAGATTGCAGAAATGATACTTTCTATCTGCTCACACACTGTAATTATACATCTCTTTCTCCAATGACATAGCCTTGCCTGGCTGAGTGAGACAGATGACTAAATAGCAACTTGTTCCAAATTCAGCTTAGGAAAAAAAATAAGCATGATATTAATAAGGAGGGAAGTATACTGAGGAATAAATGCCAGTGTTCTTACATTATTGTCATTTAAGGGCATCACACCAAAGGTCACAGAGATAATAAGCCTCAGTCACTTTCCATTTGTTACACAACATACAAATTGCCACAGCATTAATGAATATCTTTTCCCATTCCTGGCCAGCCAAGACACTGCATTATTTCCTTCTAGACAAGTACCTAACCCTTGGAATTCATTATTTCCATCACTTCTTGCAGCATTTTGTCCTGAGGGCTGAGCATAAATGCCACAAGGTGGCTGTGACTGAAGCATCAAATGCCTGAGCTTCTTTCTGCTAGAGCTTTTTTACTGGGAGAGCATGAAGAGCTCATTGGTATCTTTTGTAATCAAAGATGTATACACACAGACATTCATATGTGCTCTCTTACAAGTATCTTAAACTCCTTGCAGACCATGGGAAAAAAAATTGACATTTTCATAATTTGTGGATATTGCCTGATACATATATATTGAAATAATAGTTATGCTACAAACACCAACTGACCACAACAATAGAAGATACCATGGGATAACTGCATTTCCACTTAAAATGATGACAACTGGAAAGTTAGTAGTTCTTGGAACAGAAATGACATTCATGGAAATGTGGAAGGGCTTCTATGAAGGGATATACTGCTTAAACCCTCTTTACTTCTAACAAACTGCTAAGATAGCACAGCTGAGCTATAGAGAGAGGAATGCCTCATTTCTAATCTGTACTTCATTGTATTTTAAGTTTAGGAATTTTGCATAAATATAGATAGCAACAGCTGAAGCAAATTCATACTATTTCATAAACTGAGGGGTTTTTAAGATGACAAATTATTATTTCCACTGTTCACTGTAAGCATAAAGAATATGCAGATGAAAAGAGAATATTGAAGGCTGGTAGCTTTGTACAGTTCTGAAAAGGACTGAACTTTATGTGCATAATTAAAATAAGAGAGAGAAAAATGAAGTCCAATCCCAAATGCTGAACTAAACTAAGCCAAGAGTATTTGCTGCATGTAATCAAACCACCTCCATCTCTGTCCCCCAAAGTGAAACACTGCACTCTGCATTTTGATCAATATCTTATCTCGGTATTTTCTCCTCTCCCACCCAACAAACTCAAAGAGCAAGAGCCAGAAAGAAGAAAGCTGACAGCACTTCTAAGCTTACCCACAAACAGGTCCATATTCTTTTATGAGTTTTGTGTGGTTTTCCCAAAAACCCTGTAAGAAACAAAAAAATAAAACAGTATTTTAGAGAAGTGCTTAGCAGAAGCTGTATTACACACTGTTTCTACCACTCACACAAAGCTTTGAACCTCAGCCAGGAGAACCATGGTATTAACTCATAAAACACCTTTCTAATATTGTCCTTATGTGACAAACAGAATCCAGAAAGGATGGCTGGAAAAACAAATCCCAAACCCAAAAAAGATCTGGACAGCTATGAAACATGTTTTCATCAAAGTTTTATTCTCCAAAATTTGTTACTATTTTGTGATTTATTATTTTTAAACTAACTTCATCATTTTGGTCCTGACTCAGTTTTTTTTCAGATATGCATATGGATGGAAAACTAAGAGAGAAATTAATAAGAGGATAAGTATATGACTTATTACACAAAAGGGAAGCACAGGTAATATGGCAAGGTCATCTTGCTTGGTTTTAGTCATGTTATTAAAAAAAACCCCAAACCTGCCAAGTCAGAGTTTAGCACAAGGCTGTCAGCTGGTACATTCTGCAGAATAGTAAGCAGATTTCTTTTTTAAATTTTAACTATTTTTACTGTCTTTCATTTTCATAATTGAAGAAAATTCATATCCATTTATCCAAATAAACCTGTCACTATACTCAATTGTTAGTGTCTTAAATGAATTCAAATTGATCAATCTAAAGAAGGTGTGCAAAGTATATCCCTGAAAATGCACGATAAAAAAATCTGTTTTAATGAAACTGCAATATTTGAGCACCGTGCTCCATTGTGTTTGCAACTTGTCTATGGAAAAAGTAACCCATTTGATTGCATTAATCTGCATTTATATTAACGGAAGACACTATCATGATCTATTTTCATTCTTAAGAGAAAATTCACTAAAAAAATAGAATACTTATGTCTCATATTGAATCTTTCTTGTTTTTTACAACATACCACAGAATATTGTCTAGAACCATACAACTGCTGTAAATACATCTACTGCTGACATGAATAAACAAGCCCATGTAATCTGTGTATGCTTTGAGAGTATTTTGCCACACTAAGCAAAAGAAAATCTGGTAACCAAAAGTAATTACCTGACTTAACACCCTTGGGTGCTAACTTATTGTCCAAATTAGCAAAGCACTTGCCACCACCTACAGTCCTCCTCTCATAGAGGAAAACTAATCTCCCTCAATTTTTTTTCTTATAGTACAGTTGTGATTATTTTTTTCTTTTTTCTTTTTTTTTTTTTTAAATCCTGGACTTGCAATACTTCCAATCTGCAGGACAATATGTCCCCAGTTTAAGGCAAGAACTCTAAGATCTCCTTTAGCTACAAAAACCACGGGATGATGTATAAGAAAACATGCTAAAATTATGAGAGAGGTGGATTAGATGACAGCCTGAGGAGAATGCATATTGCCTGAAAATAATATATATTCTCCCCTGAAAAATTCTTCACTACTAAGGTAAGCAGAAAAGCCTCACACATTAGCACAGGGAAGCTAAGGTGGACAAAGCCTTTGTAACACCACAAATAGAGACAGATAACTCAAAAAGGTTTTTGCCTGCAGACACCGTGGTAGGGGAAAAGGCACATACACACTCACACCGACCTGCATTTTTGCTACAGAGATACTGCAGCGTGCAATTGCTATGATTTCAGCGCTATAAAGGCTGATGCACGGGGGAATCCCGGGGTCAGGTTCTGCAGGGGGCAGTTTCAGGCTCAGCCCAGGGCAGACCCTGACCGCAGTGCCAGGAGAGCATCCCCAGGCTGCACAAACCCAGCTGACACCTCCAGCCACGCAGGGCACAGCCCCACCAGGGTGCAAAGTGCTGCTGTATCACTGCACTGCTTGGGCAGGGCTGAGGGATCTCTCCCTCAGTCCTGTGGGGCCAAATCAGGTCTGATCTCAAGCCTGCTTCCCTCCCAGGCTGAGCCTTCAGCAAGGACACCCACACTGCAGCCTGAGCCCTGCCTGCTCACTGTGCTTTGGATTGCAAGCACGCACATAGGTATTGCACTTGCTGTACCCACCAGCTGCATTCCAGTGAGCCAGCAGGATATTAACATTTTCAAGAAGCCTAGGCTTTAAATGATTCAGTGAAAAAGCCTTCCAGAAAGCCAGCTTCTTGGAAGAACTGCTTCTGGCTTGCTACATTAGGGGGGGTCAGGCAGAACACATTTCAAATCAGATCTGTTAACCAGTAACTGGTTTTCCACCTCTAGGACTCCTAAATAATTGCACTGGCTTAAAATTAACCACACTTAATTTTTTCTTTCCTGAAGTGAGAACTACTAGCCTGCAGGATGGGGGAAGAGATGGAGTTGAAAAGCACCTGGGAAAGACCATGAGAAAGCATCCTCAGGAGTAAAAGAAGCCTTAATTCTCTACACTCCAGGACACTCTCTCATGCCATGCAGCACTCCACAACACATATTCACCACTACCAGCCTGCACTGTTCACCCCTGGGACTCAGTGCTCTCCTGGCCTCCTTCAGGGCCTGGGAAGCCTGGTAGCAGGTCTTGTGGCAGCAGGACTGGGAAAGGGAAGCCAATCACATATTCACCACTACCAGCCTCCACTGTTCACCCCTGGGACTCAGTGCTGTCCTGGCCTCCTTCAGGGCCTGGTAAGCCTGGTATGGTAGCAGGTCTTGTGGCAGCAGGACTGGGAAAGGGAAGCCAACAGCACACACAGGACCCCATGGAGCTGTGGTGGCTGGACTGTAAACAGGGCAGAGAGCACGTGCATCTGTCCCTTACACACCACGGTGTGCCTTTCAGGTGCAGGAAGCTGGAACCATAAAAAGGCCCCTGTGTTTGCTCTTGATAGCCACAAGGAAAGCCAATGAACCTGCATGGCCTCAGAGTGAGGGGATATGCCACATCCACACAGCTCTGCCAGTTTTGCAGCACCATCCCCAAACACAGCCTGCAGTAGACAGGTACCCAGAAAACGTTCTCACCTTCTCCCAAGTCAAGCACAGCAAGCCTCATAAATGCTTTTGGTAACTTATTTACACTGGCTGAGTTTGGTTTGCTTCAACCAGTTGTTGCAGACTTGTCCATGTTTTATAATCGCACTTCTACTTAGTACCTATGACATAACCAAGCACCTGCTCACAATCAGCTGCTGTTTTACAAGAAAATGGGAGTAGAGACCACCTATCTTTGCTTTCTTTCCTCATATTTATCTACTGGGTGATCTGCAGTCAAACTCAGAAATGGTACCTGCTGACTTGTACCCAGCGGCTTTAACGTCCCTAAACCAGGAATTATAGCAAAGTATCATGGGGATTAGGAAAAGAATAATCAGGGGGAAATGGATATATATGTATTCTGGGTTTTTTTAAAAAACAGAAGGAAACAGAAAAGCAAAACCACTCAGTATTATAGTATGACACCATGTGCATCAGGAAGAACTGTTATGCATTAAACACTCAGTAGTAAAAATTAAAAGCATAGTTAGCAATGATGTTCCAATTTAAAAAAAAAAAAAAATCACTTAGGGTTTTCTTTGCTTGGTAGCTGCAGAAGACAAGCTATCATCATCAACTCAGAAAATGGTTAGGCCAGGGGGACCTGACACATGTGGTCCATACAGTGAGGTACCAGCCTGAGGACAGTCCATCATCAAACAGGATAATTCAGGAGTAGGAAAAGCTTCTTCCCCTGAAGAAAGCATATTTTACAGCATCTGGTATACCATGGAAACAGCAGTTCAAGTGGTCTGACTGCTGCACACCCAGAAGGTTCTTTGTGTACATATCTGGCGGTTGCCTCCCTGCAGGGAATTTGCATTCTCCCCTTCCTCTGAGTGTGTATCATCGGCTGCATCTGTGGATAGAACCACTCACAAGGCCAAATCCTGCTCTCAGGGATGCAGGCACAAATGCCACGGAAGAGAACAAGGTTTGGGTCTGCATCAGACAAAGCAAAGTCTGGGCACTGCCAACCATTTTTCTTGAGATACCGACTGTTGAAGATTCAGCTTGAGCTGCATACATGAAAGGGCTGAAATAACTCAAGTATCCCCTCTCCTTTTTTCCAATGGATTCTGCCACTCCAAGGCAGATACTTCAGCAATTTCCTCCTCATTGCATATTCACCTTGCTAGTTCTTCACAGCAAGGAAAAAATCTGCGGCAATGTCATCTTTCCTCCTGGCTGAAAATGGTTGTAGGCACCAAGCCAAAGTTTTCAGAAAGAGACAGTATTTCAGAGAGAAGCTATATATTTTGATTTTTGGGGTGTTTAACATGAGGCATATCCAACCTATTCCTTTAGTTGCTCAATACCTGCAGATCTCATGGCTACAAATGGAAAATGACTCAGATTGTATGGCAGATGCTTTGAACATTTCAGCTTACTGCAGGTGGAAAACAAATTATGTGGTTTATGAACTTCACTTTGCTCCTTCAGGGTCATGAGATAAAATGGTTTGAAGAGAGCCACAAAGCTGGGATCCAGCAGATGCCTGCTCCTGACAATAACTCAAAATCTGGACTCCAAAAGAGGTCCTGGAGAATGCAATGAGGGTAGCCCTTGAATTTTGCGGTGTACTGAATGCCACAAAAGCTACTGAGCTCTGAGGAGATGGATGTGATGAGCCCATCAAAATTCCCTGCAAGTGGGAAACATCGCCCATGCACAAACAGCCAAGGGAAAAAGGCTTCTTTTGTTGCTCCATTCTGAAAACTATCAGATATTATCTGATGTCAGTCACTTTACAAAGACACCCTGGATTAAAACTTGTGACTCAGAAGCCAAAGATGCCACATCCCATAACTAGTCCCATATATGCTCCACCTTTTATTACCCTATATCAGATGTGATATTAATAACCACAGCACCATTGTTCAAGTGCACAACTCATATCAAGAGATTAAAAAAATCTATACAGTTATTTATGGTACATAATGACAATAAATATTTTTGCATCAGATTTTTAACATTCAATGGGCTTTCACACATCTTTTTTCCTTAGACCACCTGAAAAAGAAAATTGCTAATAACCTA